ACTATAAAGGCAGTTTTCCAATCTGCTTGAAATTATGCCAAGGACACAATTTCCCTTTAGAACATCAATCTCTACGACAGATATAACTGCAAACTCTCTGAGGAATTTCCAGTATGTCTTCTTTTTTAAGAAAAATATTTATTTATTTATGCATACAAGAGCTAGGGTACAGGTCAGAGGTGTGGGAGGGTGAGAGTGTGGAGCAGAGCAGGTGGGTCTACTGAAATACACTGCTGAGGGGTGCAGTGGAAGCAGTGGGTGAGACAGGAGGGGTCTGCTGTGCAATGTGAGTCAGCTTGTTACAGGGCAGAGAGGGGCCACCCCAGACCCCGCAAACCTACCTACTCTAAATGGGTTCTACCATCCGCCACATCAACACAAACCATATGAGACTTTAATGGGAAGGAACTTTAATACAATTAGTAAAGCATTCAGGAAAGGCAAAGAATCTAGTTTCTAAATCAAGCACCCAAAGTTACCTGTTCCCTCGTGGGTAAAAGTCCACCCAAGCAGGATTGGCCCAGAGCAAGGCCCCAAAGCCTGCCACAAGTCTAAAGCATCTTCCAGTGGGGACCCACAGAAAAGGATCGAAACAACCACACAAGTCTGGAAGGAAAAGAGCAAAATCAAAGTCAAGACAAAAACCGCCATTGTCACCTCCCCACGGGTCTCTCACCCACATCTGTGTCACCCAGTCCACGACCAAAAGGCGAGCGCTGTTTCTTCATGTGTCTCTCGGCTCCATGTGCCTCCTCCAGGTCTCCTTCTGGCTCTCCATCCTGCTTCCTTCCTTCCTCAGTCTCCTCTGCAGCTTCTTCTCTCCCTGCTCAGCTCCACCCTCTTTTTTGGGTGGGGCAGGGAACCTGGAACCTCCCCCTTTCCTGGGGACCACCCTGTTACAAGCTCACTGGCCTGGGATGGAACTAGGTGCTTAGGTGGCTGGGGATAGCTTCATAGTGCTGAGATTTAACCCCTTGCGCCAACAGGGAGGCCTCTCCAGTATGTCTTCTTAAAGAGACCCCGAGTTTCAACTTACTACTAATGCCACAAAATGTAACACATTTAGCAGAATTCAACATCTCCCTCCCTTATCCCTACCCAATCTGCTTTCATTTTCACTAAATGAAATAGCAATGGAAATTATCAGTAACAGATAAAAAGCAAATGTTCGAGGATTTTCTTACTATTTTAAAAATCACTTTATTGACTATAGAGTTTATAAAATTCAAGGCTATCCTATGACAAGTTTTACTATGATAAAAGGAGATAGGATAAATGTAAAATTTTTAACAAAATTCTTATTATTACAAAATTGGTTACATAATAGTCTTATAATTTAAAAACCAATTATAAGAATGTATCAGAGAATGTAATTTTGTATAGTGACATTCTTTTTCTCAAAAAATAACTTTGCTACCATCTTTTATTGTTTTCATTCTCATCCCAAGACTGGTTTTGTTTCCTGAATTGAGATGTGAGCTATATGAGTGGTGGTCAATGGTTTTAAATTTTTTTTTTTAAGATTATTTATTTATTTATTTATACAAGCACTGGGTACAGTCAGAAGCGCAGGAGGGTGAGAGAAGTCACCAGAGCCAGAGCGGGGAGCAGAGCAGGCAGAAGGACCGAAGTACACTGCTGAGGGGAGCAGCGGGCGGCAGGAGAGGTCTGCGCGCCATGCAGGACCCTCCTCTGGTGGCCGGGGAGCAGCCGGGGATTGAACCGGTGCTGCAGAGGCTGCGGCAGCTTCGCAACCCAGTGCTCAATCGCTGCGCCACCGCCACCGGGGAGGCCCAATGGTTTTAAATTTTAGTGGTCTTTGAAAAGTCATCATTGACTCCCTAATTAGTTTAAGACATGAACCACATTTGACAAGAATTAATATCTACATTGTGTTTAAAAAAAATGCATAGAGAATCAATGTGAAAAAGATAATGATTCCAGACTGGGAATACATGGAAATTCACTCACTCAACCTTTACTTTTTGCCGGACCACTATGGGAATGTTCTGGTGCTGGGATTCCACTGAGAACAAAGGCAAACAAACCCCGCTTTGTCACATCATTTATATTCTAAAGAGAGGAAAGAAAAATTAGACAGAACAAATGTATGGATTGTATAGATAGTACAATATATTAGAAGTGCTGCCCTAAATGCTAAGGAGAAAAATTAAGTAGGGGAAGGGTATTGGAAGCAGAGGATTATTTATTTATTTAGTAAAGATTTATGTATTTATTTATTTATTTATGCGTAGAAGAACAGGAGTGTAGGTCAGAGGGAGGGGGTGAGAGGATTCACAATAGACACAGTGGGGAACAAAACAGGCAGATCTGTAACAGGGTGGGTGGTCCCCAGGAAAGGGGGAGGTTCCCTGCCCCACCCAAGGGAGGGTGGAGCTGAGCAGGAAGAGTTGAAGCTGCAGAAGAGACTGAGGAAGGAAGAATGATGGAGCCAGAAGGAGACCTGGAGGAGGGACATGGAGCCTAGAGGAAAGGGGGAGGTTCCCTGTTACAGATCTACTGAAATATACAGCTAAGGGGAGCAGTAGGTGAGAGACAGGAAAGGTCTGCTGAGCAGTGTGTGGGGTAGCTCTTGGTCTGGGATCAAACTCAGGCCTTTGTGGTAGTGCTGAGACTTAACCCTTAGGGCACCAGGGAGGTGCAGAAATAGGTGATTATAACTAAAATTTGGATATCAGGGAAGGTATTGCAGAGCAGATGACATTTGTGTGAAGACCACAAAGAGTGAGGGAGAGAGGATAACTATGTGGATGAACAGCTGAAGGAAAGATAACCTTAGGCCAGGAAGTCAGGAGCTGCAGAGGGAAAGATGGACATAAGCCAGGAGAGGTGGGGGTGGGAGACACAGATCCTATTGGGGCTTGAAAGAACCAAGGATAGACTGGTGCCAAAGTGGTGTTGATTACTTATTGAAGGCAATTGAGAAATAACATATATAAGAATGATGTATTACCCAATGATCAGTCTAAAAATGGAAATAAATCTCTCCTTGTTCCAGGAGGTGAGATACAGCCTTAACAACTCAAACTAGGGCTTGCAAGGTTTGTTTGCATATGTAAATAAACCCACAAATTTTCTTTTTAAATTGCAAAGTTTCTTTTGTTCTGCCCTTTCCTCCCAAATTTACTACTCTTAAAAAAACTATAACCTCATGGCACTGACCTATCACAGTTTGCATAGTCTATGGGCCTCCATGCACCTGTAATTAAATTGGTCTTTTCCCTTGCTAATCTTTCTTGTGTCAATTATTAGAACAGCCAAAAGAAACAAAGGGCGGTGGTGATGGGGTTAGAGCCCTACAATTTTCTCCTTCAGTTTTCAAGGTTTTGCCATGAGGTTGAGACCAATTGAAGGGGAGCAGAGATGAGGAGGCTAGAGTGTTTTTTGAAAGTAGCCTGTTAGGAACTCAAGGGTGGAAGCAAGAGGAGCATTGAGAGGTGATACAGCTATCCAGGAGAGAATGGCAGAACAGGGTGGCACTTGCTATGGAGAGAAGTGGAATTCTGACTATATGTTGAAGAAAAAGAAAGACAGAGGCAAATAGCAGATTTGCGGAGGAAATTTGGGCGTTCAGAACTGAACGAATTGGATCTGAGATGTCTATTAGCTTCCTGGAGGAGATGCCAAGTTGCAGGTCCCCACCTACCTTCCCTTCCCGCCTCCCTCTTTGTCCGTAGGCCTAATATCCTGCTGGGAGCCCGAGGTCCTCCTGTAACAGCACCCTCAGGGTTTTGCAGCCCATTAGGGGCTGCTGTTTGCTAATCGTGGGACACATTTGCAAGGCTTGTTTCCCCAATAAGGGGCGTTTTAGTAATTATTTCAAGGTGGATATTTGCTAATGTGGCCTTAGCAGTGGGATGTAGGACTAGTTCAAGGGAAAGGTTCGAACTACAGATAAAAAGGTGGAAGTCATTAGCTTCAAGTTGATGTGTAAAGCCATCAAGCAGACAGTGAATTTAGAAAGAAATTGTAGAAAGAAATGTGTAGAAAGAAATGTGTAGAAAGAAATGTGTTCTTGGCTCACAGCGTTTTTGTCGGTTTGTGAGGATCAAATTAAAAAAAAAAAATGTGTGTGTTAAACACTTGGCAGACATACAGCACAGCACTTAAAAGGTTTGCTATTTTTACTAATAAACCCATCTGTAGGAGCTTGTGCCTGGGCTACATCTAGTCCAGACAGGAGAGTGTGCATTTTGCAACAACCACACACCCTAAAAAAGAATTCGAGGAAAAAGCAACGACTGGAAGTGGGTGAGATGATTGGCATTTATAGAGGATGGGTTGCAGTCCAATTCTTTCATTTTACAGGACGGAAGAGGCTTGGAGGCAGCAACTAGGTTTTCCATCTGGCCCCGGCTGTGCTTCCAGTCCACCTTCAGCCCACCTAGGTCAGCTACCTCTCCAGCCCCCGGCCAGCCCGCGTTTCACTAATGCAGCTCGCTTGGCCTTTCCCGCATCTGAGAACCGGGAAGCTCCACGCCCCAGCTGGCCGCGCTGCAGCAGAGTTCCTAAAGGGATAAGCCGTCCAGGTACCCCGTGCAGGCCGAAGCAGGGCTGAGCCTTGCGGCCAGCTAGCAGGAGACCAAAAAAAAAAAAAAAAAAAAAAAAAAAGGCTGTGGGACAGAAGGGCTTTGCGCGCGGTAGCTGCGCGCACTTGGGCTCTTTACGCGCTTCAAGATACACGTGGAACCCGCACCTCCTGCACCTGGCTGCGGGCGGCTGTCGGAATCCAGAAAGTACTAATTGGAAAAGGAGCGCGAGTCTCCGCCGGGCGGGAGGCTGGGGCTGCAGCCCGGGGGCGGGGAGTGGGGCGGGGCTGGGAAATTGAAGCTTAGCAGCCGACCGCTCGGCCCTGCGCTGGAGAGCCCGCCGCCGGGACCGTGACAGGCTGCAGCGGGCAGAGTAGGTGTGTCGCCTCTTGAAGACCGGAGTCCGGGATCCCGGCGACCGGCCTCGCCCGCAGCTACGGCCTCTGAGCCATGGGCGCCGTCTGGTCCGCCCTGCTGGTCGGCGGGGGTCTGGCCGGGGCCCTTTTCGTTTGGCTGCTGCGGGATAAGGGAAAGGACCAGGGTGCGGAGCCAGATCAGGACGCCCGGCTCGGGGAGGCTGTGGCTGCGGGAGGCGATCGAGCTGGCGGTGGATTGAACCCTGGACCTTCCAAGCGGGAGCTGGTCACTAAACCAGGTATTCCTCCTCCGCGTGACCTGAGGCCAGATCTGCCAGGGGGCTCAAAGTTCGCCCAAAACCAACCTGGAGCTTTCCTAACAGTCCATTCCCCAAGCGCCTCCTCTAACCTGGCTCGTAGCACGTACTGTGCAGGCTTCTTGCTCTCCACTGAGGCCTGGGAGATGCCCTAGAAGGTCGTCCCGGTGCGGTCAACTTCTGGGTGTCGAGGCGCCCGCCCCTGAGGACCTTCCCAGCCCTCCAGCCGGTTGGGCTGCTCCTCCTGCAGGAGATTGGTGCAGAGCAGGTGCAGCTTCCTGGCCTTGGGAAAGGAATGCTTAGGTTTAGGGGCGCTTTTACAATCCTCTTAAAACTCTGACTGAGCAGGGACACTTTCTCAGTCCCAATCTCATAGCTTCGAGTCCTCCCAGCCCTCACCGCATGGAAAAGCTTGGTTTGGGAACACCGGCTATTTGGATGCTTTTGTCTGGAAGGCAAAGTTCAGGTTGGACTCTGTCCAGAAAGGCCTCTGCTGAAGTCCTGGAACTGTAGGCCCTTTAAGAACTTTCAGAAATTCTCCTTGCTCACCCCCAACAACAGTGCTGGGCTGTCTAACTCCTGGGGCAAGGAGCACTTAAGTAGGAGTGCTTAATAGGATACTCAATTCCGATGTGTAGAACTGACATTTAGGTTTAAGAGTCTACATTTTAAAGAGACAGTGTTAGGCAAAGTAAGAGCAGAGCAGAGACCTGACAATTCAGTGCCCCCACCCTTGGCCGACTGCCCAGGCCTGGACTCCAGTCTAATGGTGAAAATGACATATGTGAACTTTATTTTTAGTGGAGTGGTGTTTATATGTAGCCACTTGAAAATCTGCCCGTCTTCCCTATGACTCGCTTGGGATGAACAGAGGGCTCATTTCTCTTCCTTTTCTGAAAACCAGTCTCATGTTTTAGATTGCAAAACATGGGGAGTCACAGCACTGTTTCACTTCCAACTCCATCATTAGAGACAAAAATAAACAAATCTCTTCTTCCAAAAAAACTCATCTGTGCAGATTGTATGATTTAAATTTTGAAGGGAGCTGTTTGCACTAACAGTAAGGTGACCCGGAAGGAAACTGAGTCTCCAAGGAGCTTGGATTGTGTACTTTAAGAACATTTTCACAGTGTGCAATTGGGTGCATGTGTAAAAAGCTTTATTATTTGTTGAAGAAGTTTCTGATGTGCACAGCATTGGCAAGGAGAAACTACCCCTCTGCCAGTTCCAGCCCAGTGATTTATTGCTGTCCTTTGCATTCTCCCAGCGACAGCTGAGCTGATCTATGCACAGCTTCCAGTTTGACTTGATCCCTGGTCTGCATGCAGTTCTTGGAGTATACGTGTACCCTTCTGGTATGTAGGATAGCCACGTAGCCTTGCACCCCACAGGCTGGACATGTTTTGATGACAGGAGCAAAACAAGTTGACTTGGCTGCATGCCAGTGTGACCTGGCATATGGACCTAGAGGACCATGACAGGGGCACACTTCTGCCTCCTTGATTTGCCACTTCATTTACATTCTTGTACTAGAACTCTGATTCTCCTGCATGTGCCTTTTATTGTTGGATATACGCGCACATTCATAAGAGCACAGTGTTGTGAACTTACCAGGTAGCTAATACTTGATTTTAATAAAGATGAATTTTGTGAACTGCAGGTAGGTTAGTAGTAATGTCTTCAATAGCTAAACCTATTTTTTCAGCCTAATATTTTTTCTCATGTGAACTGCCTAACACCTTTAATTTTTCCTTTTTTTAAAAAGAACATCGCCAAGGAAACAATGCATCTTTGCTTTCAGCCACTAAAGGGACTGGTAGCCTGCAAGAAGCAAGGTGGAGACTACAGAGTCCTGGAAAAGATGGTAACTATGATGATTCAAGAGAGAATGTTTCTTCGGGATGGTTTCCAGATACAGAGTGTCTAGCTGCCTCTGAGGCTAGGAACTCTCGGTGTTACTCTGAAGTTTCAAGAAATCGAAGCCTTGAATCTTCTATAGGAGAATGGGGATTCCAAAAAGGACAAGAGACACCTGGTAAAGCAGCTCCAGGCTTTGCTGAGAAGTTGCCTTCTAGCAACCTGTTTATGGACAAAGTTGAAGAAGTGAGTCTGGCACGAATGGACAGCCAGGACCTGACTGATCCTGAAGACTGGGAAATGGTGTCCAGGCACTCATCTTGGGGCGATGTTGGTTTGGATGGCAGCCTTGAGTTTTCGATGTTAAGCTCAAACCAGGGACTGGACCATGGCAGAAGTAGTCTTGTGGAAGCAAGAGGTCAGGAAGTGGGTATGAAAACAAAAAGGGTTGTAAAGTTGTCTTCAGAGTCTCAGCAAGTCAGTATCAGTTTCCAGATCCATTATCTCACAAGCACTGGTGTGCAATTCATTGCAGTAACTGGCGACCATGAGAATCTAGGGAGATGGAATACTTTCGTCCCACTCCAGTGTAGCAAGGATGGACTGTGGTCTCATACTGTGTCCCTGCCAGCAGATACAGTGGTGGAGTGGAAGTTTGTGGTGGTAGAGAATGGGGAAGTTACCCGTTGGGAAGAGTGCAGCAACAGACTCTTAGAGACTGGCCATGAGGATAAAGTGGTTTGCAAGTCATGGGGGGTTCTATGATTTGGTTTACAAAGTATTAGAGAGACATTGTAGCATGTGCAAGAGGCTAAGGTTGTGGAGCACATTGAATAAAATAAAATATAGTGTAACTTCAAATGTAGCTAACAGAATTGTTTCAAATTTGCTAGTGGCTTTTGTCTAATGTACACTACACACACACACACACACAGACACACACAATTGTACATATACACATGTATATATGCAGTTACTGCCTCCCACGATCCTGGACTTTTCCCCTGGTAGCATCAATGGATGTATAAATGCAGATCCAGCATTACTTTAGGAATTGGATCTCTTAGGGAAGAACGTGGTTCAACTTCAGGTGTGGACTGATCAGGGAGTACAGAAACTAATAAGCTATACAGCATTCAGGCTTGATCCTTTGGGCCATCCTTAAACCAAGGGATTAAAACAAATCTTATTAAGAAATAACTGATTTCCTGTTGGGACAACCGGAGAAACGCCTTTTTAACCATGCACATATTTTTTATTTCAAAATAGTCAACACCAGATGGAATTGTGATCATATCTGGGCACTCAGTGTAATTAGCAAGGATATGAGGTGATATATTAAGAATTCCCAAAGCAGAAAATATTTGCACTCCATGCAACTGATAAGGCACTAATATCAAAGATCAAAGAATTCACACAACTCAACAAAAACAAAGTAAACAAAGCAGTGAAAAAAATGGGCAGGAGAGCTAAAAGGACACTTCTCTAAAGAAGAAATGCAAATGGCCAACAGATAGATGAAAAAATGCTCAACATCACTTATAATCAGGGAAATGCAAATTAAAACCACAATGACATACCACCTCACACCAGTGAGACTGGCCCATATTGAAAAGAAACTGGCAACAACAAATGCTGGTGAGGATGTGGAGAAAAAGGAATCCTCTTGCATTGCTGGTGGGAATGCAAACTAGTCCAGCCAGCTATGGAAAGCTGTGTGGAGGATGCTCAAATTACTAAAAATGGATCTACCATATGACCCAGCAATTCCACTCCTAGGAATCTACCCAAAGGAGACAAAAACATTAATTTGAAAGGAAACCTGCACTCCTATGTTTATTGCTGCACTTTTTAGAATAGGTAAGATATGGAAACAACCTAAGTGCCCAAAAATAGATGAATGGATCAAGAAGATGTGATGTATACACAAAATGGAATACTACTTGATGATCCAAAAAGATAAAAACCCATGCCATTCACAGCAACATGGATGGAGCTAGAAGGGATTATGCTCAGTAAGTCAGAAGGAAAAAGAAAAATATCAGATGGTGTCACTTATAGGAGGAATATAAGGAAACTGAACAAAAGGTCCAAAAAAGGACAAAACTTGAAAGCAAACTATAGGTCTAAGGCATACAGCAGGGGAGGGGGGATAAAAGGGGAAAGAGAGGGATCAAAACAGGGGAGTGAAGAGCACAGGAGACTATGTTGATGGTTTATGGGTGATATGGTGGTGGGAGATTTATGGGGACTGCACCTGGGGGGAGAAATCAAATACTATACAAAAATGAAGAGCAATGTAAGAAAATTAACAAATTTAATAATAATAATAAAAAGACTTCCCAAAGCTTTTGGCTTGTTTTTTCCAGGTATGGTTTGAAGGTAACAAGTATGTCTTTGATTTAATGACTGAAGGTTGGTGTAGAAACAAGGGACCTAATGAGAATCAAGCAACCTAGGAGGAAAAGAAGGTGGCCAAGTGATACCTCTTAGGGAAACGGAGGTACAAGTATGCCTGACTGCAGGGAAGAACATTCCATCATTCATGGGGTCTTTGTAAGACCCCTTCACACTCTAGCTCTAGACAGACTTTCCCCCAGCACTAGCCTCATCCTTTTCTCTCCTTTCATACCAACAGCTGTGTTGGGTAAAAATATTATAACAGGACAGTGATATAGATGCACCTCTTTGCTCTAAGAAGAAACAAACATTTAAACTTTGCTATTATACCTGAAAAAATAATACAGGCTGAGTTTTAATATCTTCAAGTGTCTGAATCATTTTTCTACATCTTAGCGCCATATTTGCTTAGATGTAAGATAAATACTAATATTTCCCTCCACTAAAAACATGCAGAAAAGAAATATCAGGAAGCACTGAAGTCTGTTTTCAATCCTCCTTTTGGAGAAAAAGTGACTATTTCACCGTTGGAGGGATATTATATATGAGTACACTAGAATTCCTGTATGTTAAAATAACTTTTAATAAGAATTACACCTTTTGGCAAAACAATATTTAATCACAATTACCAATGAGCTTTGCTGAAAAGAGCACACACTTAATTGAAAATAGGTTAGAAAGTGCTTAAAGAACTATGTTTGGCAGTTTGGGGCTCATAGAACTTTTATGTTGAATTCCCACATACTTCTTACTTCACAATGAATTCTCTACAGGGAGGCCTTCAGAAGGCATTTATTATTACTAGGCAGAATATCCAAGCATTCCTTAGGTAAAATGAAAGGTAAAACAATTTACAATAATTTAGAGTTTGATCGCTGGCCATTTTGTCATTGCTTGATAAAATAAATATTAACCTTTTAGTAAAGCTGATTGATTTATGAGCTATATGTTATACTAAACTTTATATTTCTGAAAATCATTACTTAAAATTGGATGTGTTCAGACTGCTGAGGAAGTAAGGGTTTTGTAGCTGGAGTGTGTATACCCTACATAGTTCATTATCTGCACTGCTTAGGGCTGCTGCTAGCTGCTGTCACAGAAGGCATCCATGTATAAAGGCTAGTTTCTTGCTCACTTAGCAGTCCACAGTAAATAGTCCACAGTAGCTACTGCTGTCCTTGAAGAGATTGTCACCTAGGGGCTTCTGTCCTATGGCTCTACCTTCCCCTAGGACATCACCATCCTCTCCCCAGCCCATGGAAGGAGAAATAAAGTGAGGAAAAACACAGACTTACTTAAACGTTTGGTCAGAAAGTGCCAAATATTGTTCTGTCCACATGCCATCAGAGAGAAGTGGCAAGGTGATCAGGTGAGAGGGGAGGAGGAGCTGAGAAAGAGCCTCTGGATGGACAGCTATTTCTCGGTGACATCTGCACTGTGGAACAGGAGTACAGATTCTGGACAGCTAGCGTCTGCTGCACTGTCCCTATTGTCTTTGGTACAACCGAGACATTTTTGCATTTGGTCTCCCATTATTTGCTTCACAAAATGGGGTATAACAATTGTAAGGGCAGGACATGGACACAGAGCAGGTTTTCTGATCCCATGCAGACCCGGTAAAGGAGGAGTCGGAGTGCTCAGTGGTTTTTTTGTAGGTCTTTTATTGGAGTTCACCAGGCATATGGCAGGCAGGGGTGCTGGGGGGCCGGGAGGCTGGCAGGCCTCCCAGCCCCCAGCAAGTCTTCACTCTATCTGGCCTCTCCGGCCTTCTCTCTCTCTCTCTCTCTCTCTCTCTCTCTCTCTCTCTCTCCCCCCTCCCTCTCCCCCTCCCTCTCCCTCTCTCTTCCCTTTCCCCTCCCTCTCTCTCTCCCAGCTTCTCTGCTTCTTTCTTGGCTTCTCTTTCGGCTTCTATTGGCGTCCCCGTGACGCCGCCCTTAAAAGCACAGTCTTAGCCCTGGTGAATCCCATCTACCTAGGCCCACACCCTATTCCAGGTGCCCGCCATCAGGCATGCATTCAGAACCGCAAGGATCCATCATCTATCCTGATAGCGGGAGGGCAGAAAAGCCTGACATTTTTTCCTTACCCTACAATAATATATTTGGACTTTGTTCTGGTTCCTGGAACAGAGCTCCTCTGACCCTTGGGATCTCCTGTACCATAGGAGTGGCTTTTGTTATTTAAAATGAGGCACTTTGGGGGGACTACAATGATGTAAGGGAAAAAGAACTAATTAATAAAATTTTTTTTAAAACTAGGACAATAAATAGGGCCTCCCTGGTGGCGCATTGGTTGAGTGCTGGGCTGTGAAGCTGCCCGCAGCCTCTGCAGCACCGGTTCAATCCCGGACCACCGGCGAGGGTCCCACATGGCGCATAGACCTCTCCAGCTGCCTGCTGCTCCCCTCAGCAGTGTATTTCTGCGTCAGTCTGCCTGCTTTGTTCCCCGCTCTGGCTCTGGTGAATTCTCTCACCCTCCCGCGCTTCTGACTGTACCCAGTACTTGTCTAAATAAATAAATAAATAAATAAATCTTAAAAAAAAACTAGGACAATAAATAAATGAAACACTTTAGATTGCACCTGAGTTTATACTGATGGGCTGAATTACCGTAGGCCCCTAGATATACTCAGGTCACCACAAAAACCAAGTGATTAAAAGTTTGGAATGTGCAGCCCTGATTCCAGGAATGGGATCCAGGGCTGAGGATTAAGTGCTAGAAAAACTGTGGAATAATGAAAGTTGATGAACTTCCCAGTTGGTGACATCGAGGTACTCACCCACAGAGGCATGGAAGTCTCGTGCACCGGAACCGCATACCTTCCCCTATCTATGTATCTGCTCCATTTGGTTATTTGTGAGTTTTATCCTTTACAATAAACTGGTAATAGTAAGTGAAGCAATTTCTTGAATTCTGTGATGCATTCTAGCAAATTAAAACAGATAATGGGAATGTGGGAACCCCCACTTCATAGTTGGCCAGTCAGAAGTACAAGTGACCTGGGATATGTGACTGACGTCTGGAAGTCAGGATCGGGGGATGGGGCAGCTTTGTGGGACTAAGTTCTTAAATCTATGGAATCTGACACTTAACTCCAGGTAGTGTCAGAAGTCAATTGACTTTAGTAGGCTCAGTTGGTGTCCACAGACAATTGGCTACTGGTGTTGAAAAACTCCACATAAAAACCCCTCTAATGTGTTAAATTCTTATTAAGGCAGACTAAATTCATTCAATCTGTGGAAGTCATCTATTGACTAAAGAATGAGGGTTTTTTTCTTTGTAGTCATTAACATGTGAAAGACACTGCTAAATATTTTGATTAGAGATCTCAATGTTTTGTTATTTGAGGCCTCAATGTTTTGTTACTTGATTATTTCACTGATATTGACAGAACAGTGACTTCTGGGTCACACTCAGAATCCCTGTCAGTACATTGGAATTTGTCCTTATGTTCTGGGCATTTTTCACTTTCACGTGGAAGAAATTCTCCCTGTAGGGTGAAGAAAATGTCAGGCTTTTCTGCCCTCCCGCCATCAGGTTAGATGATGGATCCTTGCGGTCCTGAATGCATGCCTGATGGCGGGCACCTGGAATAGGGTGCAGGCATAAGTAGATGGGATTCACCTGGGCTAAGACTGTGCTTTTTAAGGGCAGCGTCACGGGGATGCCAGCAGAAGCCGAGAGAGAAGCAAGAGAAGCAGAAACTGAGAGAAGGCCGGAGAGCCCGATAGAATGAAGACTTGCTGGGGGCTGGGAGGCCTGCCAGCCTCCCGGCCCCCCAGCACCCCTGCCTGCTGTGTACCTGGTAAATCCCAATAAAAGACCTGCAAAAAACCGCTGAGGACTCTGACTCCTTTACCCGGTCTGCTGGATCAGGAAACCTTCACTGTGTCATTCCTGCCCTTACATTCCCCCAGGATGATTTTTTTTTTTTTTTAAGATTTATTCATTTTTTTTTATAGAGGCATTTTTTTAATTTATTTATTTGTTTGTTTGTTTGTTTTTTGTTTATACATGCACTGGGTAAGTCAGAAGCACAGGAGGGTGAGAGAATTCACCAGAGCCAGAGCAGGGAGCAGAGCAGGCAGAAGGACCGAAGTACACTGCTGAGGGGAGCAGCGGGCGGCAGGAGAGGTCTGCACGCCATGTGGGACCCTCCTCCAGTGGCCGGGGAGCAGCCGGGGATCGAACCGGTGCCGCAGAGGCCGCGGGCAGCTTCACACCCAGCGCTCAACCGCTGCGCCACTGGGGAGGCCCCCAGGATGATTTTTTTAATGAATTATTTTATTTTATATAATTCTTACATCATTTTTCATTTTTGCATAATGTATGAGTAGGGTAAGGAAAAAATGTCAGGCTTTTCTGCCCTCCCGCCATCAGGACAGATAATGGATCCTTGCGGTCCTGAATGCATGCCTGATGGCGGGCACCTGGAGTAGGGTGTGGGCATAGGTAGATGGGATTCACCTGGGCTAAGACTCGGCTTTTAAGATCAGCGTCACGGGGATGCCAGTAGAAGCCGACAAGCCGAAGAGAAGCCAAGAGAGAAGCAGAGAAGCAGAAGCTGAAAGAAGGCCGGAGAGCCCAGATAGAATGAAGACTTGCTGGGGGCTGGGAGGCCTGCCAGCCTCCCGGCCCCCCAGCACCCTTACCTGCTGTGTACCGGGTAAATCCCAATAAAAAGACCTGCAAAAAGCCACTAAGGACTCTGATTCCTCCTTTACCCGGTCTGCTGGATCAGAAAAC